AGGAATATGCCCCAAATATGGCATCCACCCTCATGCCTCTGCGTATGGCTCACACATTCACTCACCCTTGGTCACCCAGCCCTCTCCCACCCTGTCTTCAAGCCTACTTCAACTGCTTCGCAGCAGCCTACCCCTCTGCAAGCACCCCTCGTCTGTGTTTCCAAAGCACTCACTGCACCATGATACGGTCATTTATTCATTCATGTCTTTCTCCCTCAGTAGACTGAGGCTTTGTAGGCAGGGCTTGTCTAGTTCATTTCTGTATTTCTGGTACCTAGGAGAGGCGGTCTGCCAGATCGAATGTTTAAATCGAGCAGTTCATTTTTTCTCATTTCTCTTTCTCATACCTCCAAACTTACTAAACCGAGGTGCCACAAAATAAAGAAGCTTCTGAGTTCACCATTCAGTTCTAAGTGAATAAAGACAAGCTGCCATCAAGATGTTTATGAGCTAGCACCACATGTACTCACCATCAAATTGGTTTTAACTAATCAACACTTAAGTGCACATATAGCAATAACATTCATCGGGTGTCAGGCAGATGGCGGGGAAGGAGGGGATGGGTATATTCACACATGAGTGCGATGCGCGTTGTCTGGGGATGGACACGCTTGAAGCTCAGACTCAGTGGGGCAAGGGCAATGGTGTAACCTAAACATTTGTAGCCACATAATACACTGAAATATAAAAGAAAAAAAAAAAGACAGCAAAAAAACAAAAAAAAGATTTCTATGAGCTAAATACATTGGTTAGTGCAGCAACTTTTCCATTATTCTACATATGTTAAAACTCCTACAACTGCAGTTGAAGTTTTCATTGTAACACTAGCAATAACGAAGTGCTGATTAGTCAAGATGGATAATTTCTTTGCTTATGACTTCACTTCCTTGGATTTAAAGCTGATCTGGCAAGAGAAGAAATAGCTAAGGAGTGAATTACTATTTGTCTCTGAATCTAACAAGACCTTAACGGCTAGCCTCTTTAAAGACATTAATGGAGATAAATTTAAAGCTTTACAAAAAAAGAACTTGTTGCCCAGCTTAAGAAATGAATCACCAAGGTAAGCATTATGTTTTAACTCCAAGAAAACTTTGATACCTCACATTATATTCTATAAAATTAATCAATGATTTTTAAGAACAAACTTAGCATAAATGGGAGGAAAAGTAAATTAACTTGGATTATAGCACTTGTTTTTCTATTTGCAATTTACTTCTGAATTTGATTCTGTCATTCTTTCCCCTAGGAAATGATTTTCCTCTTTACTTCTATTGTAGTATGTTCACAATTATAAACCCTCAACGTTCATATGAAATATAATAAAATGGTAATTAAAAATCAGAAGAAACCTGGAAATGAACATTTAAGGTTTTTTTTAAAAAAAATATGCTTTCATAAGTCTCTGCTTTGTGGACACCTGCTTCTTCATTTAACCCCACTTTATTATATAATTTCTTGCATTTTTCGTCAAATGAAGAGTTAACTTCTTTTTATCTGCTTCTGCTATGTTCTTGATAAAACTATTATTACAGTTTTAATATATTACTATTTTGAGCATGTTGCCAGTAACAGATTTGTTATTTATATAAACTTTAGTCTTTAAAAGTACAACTCTATACATTTGGTTTACTATATGAAATACAAATACAGTTTAAGCTACTTATGGTAACTCCAATTCATCATGCCACACAGGAATTATAATACTGCTGCCTCATGAAGTCCTTAAGGGTGCAGGCTGGCAGGGCACAAGAGTGTATGCGCACACTACAATATTCCTTTGCCTTTTCCTAGCCTGTAACTTATGAGTTTTCTTTTCTTCATTTTTTGAGACAGGATATCACTCTGCCTCCCAGGCTGGAGTGTATTGGCATCATCATAGCTCACTACAACCTCAGACTCCTGGGTTCAAGTGATCCTTCTGCCTCAACCTCTTGAGTAGCTGGGACTACAGGTGTGCACCACCACATCTGGCTAATTTTCTTATTTTTTTGTAGAGATGGAGTCTGGCTATGTTGCCCAGGCTGGTCTTGAACTACTGGCCTCAAGCAATCCTCCGGCCTCAGCCTCCGTAAGTGCTAGGATTATAGGTGTGACCAACTGTGCCTGGCCAAATGAAACTTATTTAAGACTATTCTGATGTAAATCTCTATATCCAGTTATATAAAGATTGAAGTAATTTTTTCAGTTGTCTGTATACTGAAACTCTAAATATTCCATTATATCTTACGCATTCAACATGTTAATTTAAGAAGCAGCTGATAATCTGGAGGATTATGCTAACAAGGGAACATGCTTCTTTATAACAGCACAGAATGTTATATTATCACTGAAAAGGATCTTAAGATCATACACAGCTTATATCTTTTAACTAAAAACACAAAGACTTTTATTAACTTGTTCAAGCTCGTACTGCTAATTAGTGGATGAGCCAGAGGTAAGCAACCAGATTTCATAGTCCCAATCCTTTGGGCCACTATATGTTAGTAATGTTTTTATTTTTAAAGATTTTTTTTTTTTAAAAATTTAGTTGTGGTAAAATACACCTAACAAAATTTACCACTTCAACACTACTAACATTTATGTTTGCATTTAGGAACAAGAAAACGCAATATAACAAACATGGCAGCAGCAAAGGAGAACACACCGTCACTACGTAGATATTAAATCTTTAATGGGAGAGATGTGGTGTTTGCATCAACAGCTCTATGGAAAAAAATTTCCTTTTTCTTCCCACATATAGCACTGCTTAAAAGCCCACTCAGGAGAAAGGCCAATTGTACTATTCTAAGTTTCACTGATTTAATAGGAAAACCCTATTAAATCTCTCCCAAACCAAGTAAGACTCATCTATGAAAATGTATACATAATAATATATAACAGGAAAAAAAATACCATCCAGGCATTATCATTAATTAATGCATTTCACTTAATAAGAATAGGTCTTACTGTTCTGTAAATACTTGCTGGTGGCATCATCCCAACGGTAAAAAGTTTCCTTGGTTCTAACCTTCTCTTCCTTCCACCATAGTTCAAGCACAAAAGACACTAAAATCTACCACTTTATCAAAATGTAAAGAGATTCACTTTGCAATGTCCTGTTTCTTTACAGTTTCAGATCATGTTACCAAGTATGACTCACTTTCCCCCACCCACTTCCTTACTTAAACTTTCCCTACTCGAGAGTCAGTATTTATAATTAATTCACTAACTGGAAGAAAATAAACCATTTGCCTCTTTATTTGGGATTTTGTTTAGGGTCAGTGCAAATTGTATCATAAGGATGATTTCACTTTGATTAAAGTTCTAAATACATCTGGCACTGTTTACTCTAAATATTTTAGTATTGGTCCTTTTGAATTTCTGCCTATGTTAAAGCCAATTAAGGCACAGCACCATAAAAAATCCTTAATAATCACGCCTGTAATCCTAGCACTCTGGGAGGCCGAGGCGGGTGGATCCTTTGCGCTCAGGAGTTCGAGACCAGCCTGAGGAAGAGTGAGACCCCGTCTCTACTAAAAAAAATAGAAAGAAATGATCTGGACAACTAAAAATGTATAGAAAAAATTAGCCGGGCATGGTGGCGCATGCCTGTAGTCCCAGCTACTCGGGAGGCTGAGGCAGAAGGATCGCTTGAGCCCAGGAGTTTGAGGTTGCTGTGAGCTAGGCTGACGCCACGGCACTCACTCTAGCCAGGGCAACAGAGTGAGACTATGTCTCAAAAAAAAAAAAAAAAATCCTTAATAGATTTAAGACTTGGATTTTTCATTTACAAATTTTCCTAGAACCATCACATTTTCAATTCTCAACTCTCCTACATAGTTATTTATAAGCAATAAGAGAGCAAGCAATGGAAACGTTTTTCTTGTCTTTAGAGATGCAAATGGCTTTCTAATTCTAGGGAAATTTACGATGATGCTTATATTGCACCTTTGATCCAAGAAATCCCTAGTACTTTGTAAGAGACATATTAATATTCCCAAAGTACTGTATTAATATGATAACAAACAAAATTGCAATGGCCTTGTGACCAGCATTATGTAAAAATTTCTGCTATAGTATAGGTAAATTATGAGTATATTTCACCAGCAAATCAGCTTTTTGTTAGCTGATATTTTGTACATGTGCAGAAACAGCATGCAGACTTTTTCCTCTTTAGAAAGGACATGCATGTGCAGTTGTGATAGCCGCACCAGTTTATTACCCATGGCTGCTGTATTTATTAAAATTTCTTGCAGTTAGCCATTTAAGTGTGTGATTTGTTGCACCAGGGACACAATGCCGGCCTTGAAGTCACAGCAGGAAAAGTCTGGCTATTATTGATTACAAACAGCAGTGTGACCTTGAAAAATCACTTATGCTTTCTAGGACTGCTCCGTCATCTGTAAATGAATTGCTGAACTAAGATGATTTTTAAATGGTCTTCTAACTCAAACTAAGCCATTCATCATAAAATTTGATATTAATTAGAAAACATTAAAAAATAGAAGCCTAGAAAGAGTTATAAATATACTCTGATTAACAATTTGTGAATACTTCCATATTCGTGTCCTTAAAAGTAACATCTACTAGTGGCAAGTTCATCTTCTAGGCCTACTATTAATTTGACTAGATTAGAAACTTCTGGGGAAAAAAAAGATTATACAATTTCTTTTGTCTTAACCCACAGATATTAGGGATGCAGCACCAACATCAAGAGCAACAAAGAACACTTTCTTTCTGTATAAAAGTAATATGTTTATGGTTTTCCTATATCAAAGTCTCCACACTGTTCTGACTTTTGAAATTACAATAGAGATATCAACAGAAAGTACATAAAAAGTGAAATGTCTCCTCACATCATAGGGGAAATGCTCATTAGCAGCCAGAGCTCGAAAATCATTCAAAGCTGGTGTGGGTGATCTGACTCATTCATTTCATGAGTACTATGAGATAAAGAGTTTCAGAACAGCAGTAGAATAGGCAGTGTTTTCCCCTCCCTGTGAGCTAGTCTCATGCTCTACCTTCATCTCCTGGTGCTGGTCCAGCTGTTCCAGTTCCAGAGGGCTTTCTCCATTCTCCCTTTCTAGGACCTTGGCTTCTGTTTCTGCCCCTCCTTTTAGGGGGAGCTCTGGGCCTATGCTCGGAGTCCTGCAGCTGCCATCAGAAGCATCTCCATCATAGTCATTTGTTGTGGGTGACGCGGGACCTGTAGCAGTTTCATCTCTTTCTCCATTCACTAAGAGTGCATCAAGCAAGGGTTCTGAAGTTTGAAGAGGGGCATCTACTTTATCCTCCTCGCATTCCATCTGGCTTTGTGCTGACATTATACCGTTGGCCACACAAGTCTCTGCACCCCGAGTCTGGTCCGTATCATTTTCCTGCTTCCATGGTGGGTGCTGGGAGAGGAGTTTTTGTTGAGGGGTGGTTATCAATCCATGCTTTCCTGGGGTTCTAGGAACATGTAGGTTCACAGCAGAATCTTTCTTCAAATCGCTATAATTTGATAATGCACTAAAAGATAAAACACAAAGGAAGCATGAAAACATTAGCATGGAAAAGTTCTAGAATAAAGGCAAGTTTATCCCAGCTGAAAGGGATATTTGGTGAAGATTTTTTTTCTATCTCTGATGGTTTTAGAAACTTGGATTTGAATATTCTCCGTGCAGCTCTCAGTCTCTTGGGATGCTCTCCACGTTACAATAAACATGTAGATAAAGATGATGAGCCTGATCTTTACTTATAGGGTCTGGAACATTTCCTTGGACTGTTTAATAAGAGTAAAGCCTTAGATGTAAGAAATATTTATATTTAATAAAATCATCTCAAGATTTTTATTTATTGATGTTTCTTAACATTTTGTTTTTTATTATTTTAAAAACAGGTATAGCCTGCCCTTCATTTACAAACAACTTATAAACCAAAAAGTTGCTTTTATTTGGAAAGCATAACATATATTCTCAAAACTTTATTAATACATGCTGTAATAGCCTTTTAATTGGGCTCTTTGTTTCTACTCTTTTTTTTTTTTTTAAGACTAGTCAAGTACAGTAGTGATAAGGGGGAAAGTGGTAGAACAAGGAGTTTAATCTGTAACTGACTGTGAACAATCAAGTGAGATAACTCACTACCTTCGGACCAGCCCTTTGTTTCCACTCTTGATCTCCTCCAATCTAGTCTCTACAACTCAGTCATAGAAATCAAAATTCTCTGAGGGCTTCCTTGCACACATACTTAAGGAAAAACTGGCGTCCTGATAACAGCCTATGAGATTCCACATACTCCAGCTGCCAATGCCCCGGCCTCCTTACATTCCATTCTCCCCTAAACTGGCTGTGCTCTTGCCACACTCCTTGCTGTTCTCCATTCCCGAAAAGCAAATGTGTGCACCTTAGGGTCTTTGCAGCTTCTGTTCTCTGCCTAGAACACCCTTACCCAAAACACTGGTGTGGCTGACTCCTTCTCATCATTCAGGTTTCTGCTCAGATACCATCTCTTCAAAGAGGCTTTCCTAGATTAGTTTATAACAGCACACTCCATCACTAAGTCCACATCTTATTTTATTTTCCTTTGAAGTCCTTATCGTTACTTAACATTGGATGTAGTCCTGATAGTATTAATAGGACAATGGAACCTTATTCTCAATATATAACAATGTTCCTACAGAAATATTTTTATAGCATTTTCATCTAGGATGGGGGTGAGGACAGAATACGAAAGTCTGGGCTATAGTCTTTGAGAGTCCTGTGCCTCAAGTGAGAAAAAGAAAAAAATAATAAAGACTAAAACGCTGTAAGGAACAGACTGTGCTGTCTTGTTCTCTGTGTCATTCCTACCTGTTAGCACAGTGCTTGACACCCGGGAAGTGCTCAATACAGATTCGATGAACTATGAATGATTGTGATAAGGATGATGTGATAGTGACAGTAAAAGCAGGTAACATTTATTAAGTGCATACTAAGTATCACAACCCCTTTATATTGATTATTTTGTTTCATCCTTATTGTAACTTCAAAAATAGGGACCCCATAAATAGAGAAATTTAGTCTTAGAAAGTTTTATACTGTGGTCAATGTTCCATGGCTAATAAGTGAAAAAGCCAGAGTTCAAACCATGAAGTTCAGCTCTAAATCTCATGGTCTTCACAGAAGGATAGAATGAAGATCGGGTGAATGGGCAGCAGGCACAGTGTGGAAACAAGTCAGGGGCTGGCTGTACTTCCCAGTGCAGGTGGAGAGGTGACAGGGTCGAGGGAGGCAGGGGAGGAGACAGCAGCAAGGTCACAAGGACAATGCTGGGATGTGTGTCACCTTCTCTCTTCACTTCCCCCTTCCCAGTCACTGCCGATCTTGGACTGCAGAATGGAAACAAGGAATAACAACAGACAGCAAGAAAGTGATAAGTGAGTGAAAAAGATAGGAGTTAAGTCCAGGCCATAGAAAGGGAAGGAAAAATTTAGTATGGTAAAATGAAATATATATAAAAGTTGGAGGTGGGTCAATATAAATAAATATTACACAATCCACCATTGACATTTCCCAAACAGTCCTTGGAGATCTGAATCAAACTGTCCTCTTTTTCATGCCCGTATCAGTGTCTGGTCCCCTAATAGAAAGATCCTCAACAGACCCTCTGTACCAAACTTGAGCATGCAAAGGACTTTTCTAAAGGACTGTTTTGGATCCAAGCTGGAAATTTTCCTTAAGTGACATCAAGGGTATGAGGGGGTGGGGGGATAGGGATAAGGTACAGAAGGAGGTAGTAAAAGCAGTAGTTCAACAAGTGTTTAGAGGATTCCTGCTGCTTTGTGGATGCCAAACCATGGGGGAAAATACTTGACCTTGCAAGAAGCAATGTTTAGGTTTGTAGGAAAATGTTATTTATTTCTGAAATCTTTAAGTCTTTCCTAGGTTAATAAGAGTACTCGATTCTGCGCTCTGGAAGGCCAAGATGGGAGGATCGCTCGAGGTCAGGAGTTTGAGACCAGCCTGAGCAAGAGTGAGACCCTGTCTCTACTAAAAATAGAAAAAAAATAACCGGAACACTAAAAATATACAGAAAAAATTAGCCGGGCATGGTGGCGCGTGCCTGTAGTCCCAGCTACTCGGGAGGCTGAGGCAGAAGGATCGCTTGAGCCCAGGAGTTGGAGGTTGCTGTGAGCTAGGCTGATGTCACGGCACTCTAGCCCGGGCCACAGAGCAAAACTCTGTCTCAAAAAAAAAAAAAAGAGTATTCTGAAAGAGAGGAAGGAAGGGAGGGAGGGAAAGAGAGAGAGAAAGAAGAAAGGAAACCAGTTTAAAAAAAAAAAATCTTACTGTAGATTTCTCATGTTAATAAAATAGGGTTACTTGGATCACTGCCCAGTGCAAAACTGTGATGCTCAGGTAAGGTCTTAACAGCAGTGTAATACGACCCTCTATGACCACCCTGACCAGACTCGACTCTAACAGATGTTGGTTCTTCCTGTCAATTTCCCATGGTAACTCAGAGCTTGGCGACCACCCTCTATTTGATAAAGTACTAGTTCAGGCTCTAATAACCAGGGTTAAAACCAAAAACCACCTTTGCAGGCACATGGCTGTAAATACAGTAAATACAAATTTCCCACTAAAGTCCTATAGATCCAATGCAATATTAACCTACTCAGACACTAGGGGCCAGTTTGTGGTGGTAATAACTCCCTGAGAACACAATTATTTTTCATACTGGCAGTACCACAGTTAACAGCCCTTCACCAGACTTGCCGAAACACATTTCACTCTATCTGCACTCAGAACAAACTTGCTTAAAATATAAATAAATTATAGCACATCTCTTCTTGCGTCAAATCTTCCAGCTTTCCATCAAAAAATGACTTTGAATTTGTAAAGTTTCAAAGAGTAAAAAAAAAACTGGTATCAAAAAACCATAAACATTTCACATGTAGGGAGGATACCAAAATGGTGAGGCTTGTAGGACTCAGCCTTTGGAAGACTGACCCATTCAGGGCTTCACAAAGACACCTTTGAAACCTGGGGTCACGGGCTCTGGCACACACTACGATTGGGATCAAGGTGCCAGCCCTCCTTGTGTTCTGCAGTCATTGGGCATAGCCCCTGGACTCTGCAAACAGGAGGGGTTACACTGTATAGTTTATTAAATCAACTTACCCTGAGAAGCAAAAAAGAAAAGTTATAAATGGAATTAAATCATTCCAGTAAAGATCACTGTAAATTAAGACAGCAAAGGTATTATAAATCCTAGTTCAGAGGGGCAGATGTTGACATTTAAATATTTATGACCAAAGTTCCAACAAATGATCAGAAATGAAAAATGAAGACAGGTTTCTAAGTTACTTTGCTCCAAAACTTGTAAATAGATATAGTCCCATTTTTAAAATGAGGGACACTGTAGTTTTGTGTTTGGTCACAATTTCCAAAAGATTCTCAAACTATTTCAAAGCCATGATTTCATTACATAAATAACAACAAATCCTGCAAATAAATAATAAAATCACCTAATGGGAAACCAATCCCAAAATTACACTGGAATGAATGAAAACATTTGGCTTCAAGGATGAAAGTGAAGTTATATACATTCTGTTTAATTATATATAGACTTTTTGTGACATAAAAACAAAACCCTCACAATAAAATTTTTTAAAAATTCTATTTAAGTCAGTGATGAAATTTCTTTTCATCAAAAGACTCTAAGAGAAAACAATCGAGTGTCTTATAAATAGAAAAGCAACCGATGCAAGTTTGTTTTTATGTTTGAGTCAGAAATATACACTATTTCACCAACTTTTTTTGAACATTAGGACTAAAGAATAAATTATATCTAATAAATACAAAACTGAAATTTAGCATGGATTTTGCTATCAGTAATAATAGCTCTTTCCAAAACAGACCATAAGATGGGGTATGTAGAGAGGGGAAAGAGGGACTGAATGGGTGTAGAAGACCCACAGTAAGTAAAATGGGTCAGAAAGAAGAGAGGGTTCCAGGGAGGAGACAAGCCCACAGGAGTCACATTCACAACATACAAAGTAAGAAACACAGACAGAGACAACCTGCTGGCCTTTCCAACCCAGCTATCCAGTGACCAACAGAATAACACGTAGATACAGAGGAAATGAGAACGCACATATATACGAAAGCACACAATTTGATGAAAAAGCTGGTGGCCTACAGTGCTGCACACAGGTAATACATAGTAAACGACAATTCATATTAGGGTATGATTAAATCATTTATTTTAAAAATTCATTCTTTTTAAAGGCCTACCAAACCTAACAGGAATAAGATACTATTAATATGTTTTTGATTTACAAAATCTACGATGACTCTATCATCTTTTCAAAAACCAGCTTTCTTCTTCCCCCCTGCCTTCTCCCAATGCAAATTAAGTCTTACCTGCCTCCTTCAAAGCGACTGATGAGATCTGATACCTTACTGGGTTTTTCTTTTGAGACACAAGAAGCAGAGGCAGGTTTAACTTCCTCCATCCTTGGTTTTACACTAGGTAAAGCTTTATGCCTGGGGGTTTGGTGTATATTGGATGAAGGTGAATTCTGCAGGTGTAATGGCTTTGGAGGCACTGTAGAAAAAGAATAGAATTCAGTATTTCACCGATATTTTGTTCTTTAACAATAAAAATTCTAGTGTTCTGGGTGCAAAAATCCCCAGCGTCATCGCAAACTATTGTAAAGGGGGTATGTAAAACTTTAAACTGAACCATAACCAAAGGACCTTTGTTTATTTTGGACATTTGCTTTGTGTCCTGTGGAAATGCCATCTCCAAATTTAAGTGGTTCTTTTGATTTTAGTTCTTAACTGTGGCATTATTAAGCATCTAGGAATCTACATAAGTCTACGGCATTCCAAACTCTGTTACAGATAACACAGCAGTTATTCATCTAAACAGGGAAAAGAAGGTGCTAAATTTGAAACTAAATCCCAGAGATACACTGTTTGCAACAAAATAGATTTTCAATATTAGACCAATAACAGATACTAGAATCGACAGATACTAAGTTAAACAACATAAAAGCCAACAAAACAACAAACAACAGTAATATAATGTTACATTAATACAGCATCTTCTCATTTAACAAAAGCACTTTATCCCAGTCTGAGCAAGAGCGAGACCCCGCCTCTACTAAAAATAGAAAGAAAGTAATCGGACAACTAAAAATATACAGAAAAAATTAGCCAGGCATGGTGGCACATGCCTGTAGTCCCAGCTACCCGGGAGGCTGAGGCAGAAGGATTGCTTGCACCCAGGAGTTTGAGGTTGCTGTGAGCTAGGCTGACGCCACGGGCACTCGCTCTAGCCCGGGCAACAAAAGTGAGACTCTTGTCTCCAAAAAAAAAAAAAGGCACTTTATCTCATTTGATCTTAGGTAAAATCTTATACTTTATAGTTCTCTGAGGTAGGTACTATTATTTGCCTCTTATGCGTATGAAGGTTTAGAGGGGTTAAGTGATTCGCCCGGGGCAACAAGGCTAATCTGATTTTATGACTGGTACCCAGACTCTAGCTCCTTCTATCATCAGCACTGCTCCCCATCATTAATCCAGCAAAAGGCAGTGGAGGGACAGAGAGGTTCTATTATTGTTGTCTGCTACATTATATAGTTAGTGCTTTGGGTTTGGATATTTGTTCCCTCCAAACTTTATGTTGAAATCGGGTCTCCCGTGTTGGAGGTCGGGCGTAGTGGGAGGTGTCTGGGTACTGGGGCAGGTCCCTTATGAAGGGATTGGTGCCATTCTCGCAGTAGTGAGTTTGTTCTCTAGTTCCTGTGAGAGCTGGTAGTTAAGAGTCTGACACCTAGCCCCACCCTCTTTAGCTTCCTTTCTAGCCATGTGATCTCTGCACAGGCCGGCTTCGCAGTGCCTTCCACCTCGGGTGGAAGCAGCCTGAGGCCCTAGCCAGAAGCCAAAGAGATGCTGGCACTCTGCTTCCTGTACAACCAACCTGTAAAACCATTAGCCAAATAACCTTTTCTTCTTTATGAATTACCCAGCCTCAGGTATTCCTTTACAGAAACACTAAACAGACTAAGACCCTTGGCTTGCATCAATATACCCCACATCATTTGCTTACTTAATGAGTCCTTCACTCAATTACCACAATAGGAATAGGTCACTTCATGAAATACTAAAATTTTCAGAATTTCCCCAACAGACTGTAGATGAGAAAACACAATACACCATAAGCATGTAATCAGTGCAGGAATTACTTTACTTTTGAAAACCAATACTTTTCTTTGAGATTAACATGCAAAGTAAAAGATTATACCATGTATGGTTTTTTTCCACAGCTGGTTTTGGCAGATCAAATAGAATCATCTCTTTTTTTTCCTTCTTTAAATTCTTCTTTTACTTTATGGAAGAAGGGTGAGGAATCATGTCTCCTAATTACATGCCCCATTTTCCCCCCTGCTGGTTACCCTGGTTTTCAGTTATCTCATCTCTTTTATAAACTCAGCTAGCTGACAGCTGCCTGATGCTCACTGGCCTAGATTTCATCATTTTGGTGCCAGTTACCAATTTATTACAGGGTAGGAAAAAAAAAATCACAATGAACTACAAGTGGAGCAATTAATTCACTGACATCTCTTTTAATACAAACAAGAAGAAAATCCCAATGAAAAACTGGTATGCTTTTTTTCATGAAAATGATATTTTCCAAGTTTTGTTCAGGGGGATGATTAGTGTAGAATCAATTGGGAAGGAAAGGACTTATATAAGATTAATATTTGTTAACTTTAAGGGAAAAACTCCTGTGTAGAATAAATAAGTACTAAAGTAACAAAACAGGAAAATCTCCCACCAATAAAAAAAAATTGACATTTAGAATAATTTCAATGTTTTTAACTGGAATATTGAAAGAAGTGAACATATTCTCTATAATTCTATGTACTAAAATTGTTACGAAATAACTCCTCCAAACCTAGAGTTTATTCACTGAACGTTCCTTATTTATTATGTGCCAGATGCTGGAAACACTCAAATAATACAGATCAGCCAGATTCTCAGAGATGACTCCACTGCCTTTCAATTCTAAATTATGCCCATCTCTTAAACTATTTCATAGCATTGTGTACTTTTTCTCCAAAGTACTTATAATAATTTATTATGTAATAATTATTAAGTAGGATTAAAATAATAAAGTGACAATAAAATATTTTTTTCATTTATTTTATTTTATTTTATTTTATTTATTTATTTTTGAGACACAGTCTGGCTCTGTTGCCTGGGCTAGAGTGCCGTGACATTGGCCTAGCTCACAGCAACCTCAAACTCCTGGGCTCAAGCAATCCTTCTGCTTCAGCCTCCCGAGTAGCTGGGACTACAGGCATGCGCCACCACGCCTGGCTAATTTTTTCTATATATGTGTTTTTAGTTGTCCAGATCATTTCTTTCTATTTTTTTAGTAGAGACGGGGTCTTGCTCTTGCTCAGGCTGGTCTTGAACTCCTGACCTTGAGCGATCCACCTGCCTCGGCCTCCCAGCGTGCTAGGATTATAGGAGTGAGCCACCGTGCCTGGCCAACAATAAAATCTTGAATATATTATAGATTTAAAGCTTTTTCCTCCACAAGCCTAGAATTTCCCTGATATGACAAAAATCTCAAGATGATATATGAATGGCTAAAGTGTTAGAGATATCTTAGAGGAAAATTCTGTTCTTTTATCATTTATAATGTAATAAAAATAACATGTATTTTGCTCAAAAGGTGTCACTGCTGCATGAAAATGATTTTTTCAACTCTCGAAGTTAAGCAGCAACCTAGGAGCATATAATGTAGAATTCAAAGGGAAATATATTTGGTATACTGTGTACTTGTAATGCTAAAAATCCAATTCCTATTAAAAACCAAAATGTCCTGTTTCAGTTTAATACTTTGTACCCAAAGGAAATAACGACAGCAGCAGGAACAACTAAGAAATTGATAGCTCAAATTATTGAAACTAAATTTCTCTTCATGGCCACCTTTCTCAGCTTCTGCGAAACTAAAGAAACCATAGTCATCCTTTATATGTCTAAGGATTCATCTTTTTCCTTCTCACCTATATGGTCTCCAGGGATTTGCACTATGGAGTCCTATCTTCTTTCTTTTACATCTTTCCCTTCGTCAACTTTAGTCTCTTTCAGCAATGCTTTCAGCTACTGCCTCTAAGGGTGAACCCTCATGCCCAAATGAATCTCCCAATTTCTTTTAAAGGATGAGTGTCAGCATTTCCAAACGCTCCCTGGACATCTCCTCCTGGGCGTCCTATCGGCAACTCCAGCTCATTTTATTTAAAACTCAGTTTACTATCACTTCTCCCAGCACACAAGCTTCTCCTCCACCTATGCTTTCCATTTCCGTTAATGGTAACATTCATTCATCTCAGAATCACTCATTCACTAAATGTATATTTAACACTGGCTATGGACCAGACAGTGTTCTAGGAATTGCGGATCTGTTCCTTGCTCTCATGGATGTGCAGCCCAGTGGGGAAAGTCCTCTCTCCCTCTGGAGAAAGCAGCAAGATCAATCAGCAATGTCTGCCCTGGGTATGAAATGGGAGACTATCTGCTATTATTGCTTTAAAATTACCCTAATAGTTAAAAACTCTCTCATATAATGTGTAACCAAGAATATGAAGGGTGGTGGAATATGTCCCCTCAAATATGCCACTTTGGAATAAGGATTATTTTGACCAAAAGGGACTTGAAAAACAGCAGGTGCAAGAAGGGTGCTCTGACCTTCTGCTTTTTCCTGAAAGCAAAAGATAAAAGCTTCCATATAGAAGATGTCATCCCTATAAAAGAAGGAAATAACAGCGTTATTACCATTGATGGGGCGTTCAGGCTGAGAAAAATGTGTACAAATAAACCTTATTAAACTAACCCATAAGATAACTTCCTAGTGACTTTTCCCCCATTAAATGAGGAAAAGCTCCTTTGTCTTCTCACATTTTCAAAATGTTCTACTCTTTGTCCAATTTGGCATATAAGCATTCAGCTCTACCTGTTTCTTTGAGTGTTCATTTTTCTTGTGGAGATTCCCATGTATATGTTAAAAAAAAAATTAAAACTTGTTTTTCTCTTGCTCATCTGTTTTATGCCAGTTCAATTCTTCTACCTAGCTAGAGACCCTAAAAGGATAGAGGAGAAAATTTCCTCTTCTACACGTGTATAAGAAAGATCGTGAATTAGAAAGGACCAGTAAATCCTTTACATAGTAATATAATCCAGGTTGTTAAGAATCAACTATAAAACTAAAAAGAAACTTAAAATCTAGAGCTAAACAGCTGGGCATGGTAGCTCACACCTGCAATCCTAGCTGTCTGGTAGGCTGAGAGGTGGGAGGATTGCTTGAGCTCAGGAGTTAGAGACCAGCCTCAGGAAGACAGAAACACCAGCTCTACTAAAAATAGAAAAAATTAGCCAGGTGTGGTGGTGCATGCCTGTAGTCCCAGCTACTCGGGAGGCTGAGGCAGGAGGATCACTTGAGCCCAGGAATCTGAGGTTGCTGTGAGCTAGGCTGATGCCATGGCACTCTAGCCTGGGCAACGGAGTGAGACTCTGTCTCAAAAAAAAATA